TTACATAAATAAGGTTTCAATTTGCAAATCAATTATGCTATGGTTTGAACTAAATAATATTTTGCAACTACAAGTTCGAAGTATTGATCAAAAGAGTTATTACGTTCAATGTATAGGCACAAACCTTCTTAAGTAGTACGACTCATTCACTCTAAACTAGGGTAATAAAACGACTTGTCCCTCATAGTATGGCTCGTCTCATACCTTGAATATGAAATAAAAGAAAATCATTGTATGGAAACCATTCAACAATTAAAGAAAGCCGAATACTTGAAGAAATAATTGAAAATATATATTTGAAACTTCTTAAATACCATACAATTGTTCAAACCATTACATAAAAGAAAACATAGTTTCATGGCTAGGGTTTCATCAAAACCCTAGAAAGACGAGCCTAGCCACTCATGGAGGGTGGGAAGAAGTGAAAGAAGAAGAACCCTCCATGGAAATTGCCTTTGAAGCTTGAGAATCACCTTTTTCCAAACCTTAGCCTCTTCTCTCTCTTGGAATTTTTAGAACCCTAATCCATCCTTTTTGTTGCCATTTTATACCTATTCTTCTTTTCAATAGGTTTAAAACATTGGGCACGTTTTCTGAGGTACGACCGCACGTGCAGGAAAAACCCTTCGCACGTGCGGGAAAGCTGGGGGCCTGAGGTAAAGACTGCACGTGTGGGAATGGGCCTCCGCACATGCGGGAAACAATTTTCTCTGCATTTTTGCTCATTTTATACTCCCACTATGTACAAACCTGATTGACATTAAACAAGCATAAAAATATATAGTTTGACAAGTAAATAAAGTTAAGAGATCTTAATTAACGGCTTTAGTGTTGCACAATTCGGCCTTAATCAAAACCACAATTATAATTTAATTACAAAGCTTCTACTCATTTTGGAACACAAATTCCATGGCGTTGTATAATTTAAACACCAATTGAATTCTCCAATAACAGCAAGGCCTCGTTTGGGAACCAGCTCATTTAGCCAAAAAGTCAAAAAGTTAAAAAAGTCAAAAAGTCAACAACCTATACAAAAAAGTCAAAGATTCTCTTTTCTCTCTACTTTTTGCACATCTTTTCGTAAAAAGTCAAAAAGTTATCCCAAACATGTTAATTTTTTTTAGCTCATATTTCAGCCAAATAGCTAAAAAGTTACTAAATTAGCATGTTCCCAAACAATGCACAAAGTTAAAAAAAAATATATTGATTTTTTGAAAAAACATAAACATTTTTTTTGTGTTTATGTCTTTCAGTCTTATTTATAAACTAGGACTAACTAAAAAATTGAAAACAAAATGATTATTAAAAGATCCATACATAATAATATAATTCAATGTAAACTATTTACTTTAAAATAAAAGTTCACGAGGATGACATTATTTTATCAAAATAGCAGTACTACAATATTTTTGTAATATTTTTTCTATATAAATAGCATTTTCTTCTAAAATATATATTTTCTTCTTCAAAAAATAAATGTAGTTAAATCATGTGGCAATAATTGCTGAATCAATTTAGTTATTTTAGAAAGTGTCTTGTTAACATTTGTCCAAATGGTGTATGATAAGCAAACTTAAAAATATTGTATATTCTTTTATTATACCAATCTTCATGCATAACATACAAACAAATGAAAAAACATCCTAACATGTACTCTAAAAGCACAATTAATAAAACATTTTAAAAAATATTTTACACATTAAGGGTTGGTTTGGGATGTTCTAAAAAAGTGTACTTTTTGACTTATTGACTTATATGGATTGGGTTTGAGTTGGGTTTGATGTGATGTGTTAGATATGTGATGTGATTTAAATAAGATGATGTGACTTAAATAGGATAGTAACTTTTTGACTTTTTAACTTTTTTAGTATACCCCAAACCAACCCTAAGTCTTTGTTTGGGATAAGCTTGTTTAGCTTGATTATTTAATTATTTTAGTCTGGCTAAAAAATTATATTTAAAATGATAATTGGTGGCAGTGGGTCCCGCTATTAATGATGTAATGTTTTGGTCTTAGAGTTGTATTTTTTTTTTTTTTTTTTTACTTTTTTAATGCATTAGTGCTATTAGTGGTGATATTTTTAGTGGGATGAATCATTGTTGTAAAAATTTATGCCAAATCCTAAAATTTTAAAATTTATTTAATGCCCACAGCGCATGCCTCGATTTCGTCACCCTGATTCAACCATGGATCTTAGCCACGTGTCAATCATTGTCCTCCCTCCAAAGTACGAAATTTGAATTTTGCAAAGTTGAATGCGCGGCTCTCAATAACCACAATAGGCTCTAATTATCCAAAACACCACACTTGTTTATTACACCCACTCCCAAACACTCTCTCCACCATACGAGAAGGGTAAATTACACTGTGCCCCCCTAATGTTTAATAATTTTTTACTTAGTTTTTAACGTGTTTCTTTTCCCCTCACTTTGGCATTCATAATTTAAAAAATTTCCAATTTTTACTAAATTATGTTCAAAATTAGACCAAAAAATATATGTTAACTGTTACATAATAAAAAAAATATATTATTATATTGAAATTTGAGTTTATGTTAAATGGGTAAATTATATATAATAAAAATATTTTTATATCACGTAATTGTTAATGTGATATTTATGTCTAATTTTAAATATAAATTAATTTTTTAGATTTGAATATATGAAGAGTCAAAGGACTGTTTTGGGAATATGGTTAAAAATTGATTTTTTGATTTTTTTTAAACGTATAAAAAAAAATGTAAAAGGAGATGATGTGATCCAAAATGGGTTAAAAGTTGAGAAGTGACTTTTAACTCACTTTTCAAAAGAGACCAAAGTTAAATGAAACAAACTCTAAGCATGTGTTTAATTGGAGGATTTAATAAGAGAAATTGAGGGTTCGTTTGGGATGTAGATTGGCTTTTTGGCTATTTTAGCGTAAGGCTAAAAAGTCTCGTTTGGAATAAGTTTTTTGACTTTTATGAGAGAAAAAATGAAATAATTGTAGGTTGAATGTGATATTTTGTCTTATTGGGTTAAAAAATCTATTTTGTCTTTTTGTAAATAGCCAAAAAAACAAAAAGCCTAGCATGCCAAACGAAGGCCGAAAAGGAGAAGAAAATACAATTTCACTTTTTATATAATGAAAAACATAAGGAAAAAGAAAGTGAGAGAAAAAAAAAATTAGGTAGCGTTTGGTAGAGTTTTCTAAATATGATTTGAGAATAGAGTTATATTTTGAGTTTGTGAGTTTTAGAATTATGATTTGAGTGTAAAAAATTTATTTGATTATGAGTTCTTAAAAGAGTTTTGAATTGAGTTTGAAATGGATAATGTGACATGTGATATTTAATACAAAAACTTACAACTCATAACCAAACACACAACCCAAAATCTTATTCGAAGTTCATAAAAAATTTGTTAGAATTTACCATAACCCACTCCACCTACCACCTCCACTACCACACACACTCACCTACTTCACCTACTTTCCTACACCTACCACACACACTCACCTACTCTCAAATCCTCTCCTATATAATAGGAAGCCTTGTAATATCAACTACACAACAATCAGATATCAACTTACATCAATCAATAATACAAGAGTTTTAACATGGTATCAGAGCAGGTTTAGAACCTGATATTTTCGCTTCTCCGGCGGGCGGCAACCTCACCTTAGCTGCCCGCCGGACCTCCACCTAGTCTGCTAAATTTTTTCTACACATACCTTCGCTCCGCTGCATCTTCAACTCTCTCTCTGTATTGAAATTCAGGGAGAAAGGCAGACACGGGGCATTCTCTCTCTCTCCTCTCTCTGGAACACACACCACACATGCCTTGGCAGCTCTGGTTCTTGCTCACAATCTGCTAGCTTTCTTCTTGTTCGAAAGCTTTTGTATACTTTCTGCAACTTTACTGCGGCTTCATGTTTTGGATTGCTTTCATCCAAAATAGGCAAATGTGTGATTTTCTCTATCATGCTATCTGATCCAGAAACCATCATCCCAGCGCACGTAGAGCAGACACCATCACTTCAGGCCATGGAGTTTCTAATGATTTTGGAAAAAAAAAAAAAAAAGGAGAAGCTTATGGAGTTTCGTTTGGTTTCGGCTTGTAACAGCAAGCAACAGCAGTCATGTTATAGGATGGGTCTGTGCTTCAAGCTTAGGCAGATGGAATTCTGCCCAACTTGTGGAATCTTGTTGCAGTATGAGTGATTATCTCTGCAACGCACATGGGCACCCACTCAATCTCTCTCTCCCTCTCTCCTCACGGACATCCACTGGGTCACCCACTCAATTTCTTTATATTTTTCTTTTATTTCCTTTTAACTTTCTGCTTCCCACAGACTCCACCCACCAAAGTCATCATAATGTTCTTATCTCCTTCCACTTTATTTCTTTATTTTTTTATTATTTTTTTTTATTTTTTTAAGCACCTTTTGCTTCCTTCATTTTCACCGACCTTTCTTAGCATATGTTTTTTTATTTAATCTAGCTAAAAATAATTAAAATATTAAAGATATGTTTAATATTACTATTGTTTAGTAAACAATTAAAAAATGATAAAATAGTTTTTTGCTGATTTATCCTATCTAGTTTGTCCAACCAAACAATGGATTCACTAAAAATATTCATTTTTCAGACATCTAATCATATGAGAAAACAAATACGGAATATATATCAAATCCAATCAAATAGTCTAAGAAATTTACAGTTATAAAATTCAAATCCGATAAATTATAATTCTTACTATCTAGTCTCTCCAAACAAACACACCCTAAATATAAAAGAAAGGAGGCAAAGTGTAATTTATCCCAAACAAGAACAAAAACGGTACAGATAGATACATAAAACGACAAGGGTCCACCATGTGAAACGGTTTGCCTGATCCAAAAATTCAATTCGGACCTACCTACCATCTTTCAAATCCCTACCACTCGCCTCTGTCGCACGTGCCTCCTCCATCCTCCTTCACACGTGCTTACCCCCTCAACTCTTTCAAATTTCAAATATCTCTCTCTCTCTCTCAATGTCCACTGTTGTCGACCCATGAAATGAACCATGCTTCAATTCGATTCTTCTTCACTTTGAATCTCAACCGTTGAACCTCGAAGCTTCAATGGCACTCATGCTTCATTTCCTTGTCAACCCCATCTCTCTCTGATTTTTCACCATTTGCATCCAAAGAAAGTGATCGATTGGTTTCAGAGAGAGAGAGAGAGAGCGAGCGAGAGAGAGACTACTTTCGAAGCATTTATTGGGTTTTTTAATAGAAAGAATTTGGAGTAAGGGGTTTCAATAGAGAGAGAGAGCGAGAGATCAGTGATTGAATCGAGTTTAGAGAGAGAGATGAACGCAGTGGGGAGGCAGGGGCAGAGATCTGGTGCGTCGGCGGTGCATCACCAGCGTCAGTACTCAGACAACTTACTTGACTCCTCATCATCCAATGGTCGGTGGCTTCAATCCAATGGTCTTCAACATCTCCATTCCTCAAACACCTCTCTTCCTCCTCTCCAGGTTCCAATCTTTTTCATTTTTTTTCAATTAGGGTTTTTGAATTTGTATAGATCTGTGTTTGTTTACTTGTGGATCTGTGATTGAATCGATAAACAGGACTACGGTTACTATGGTGGAGGTCAGGGTTCGAGAATGTACAGGAATGCTCCGAGGAACTTCAATGGAGGAAGTGAGTTTTTCACTGAGCCCTCTTCGCCTCCGGTTAATTCGAGGCCTTCGGGTCAGAGAAAGAACGGTGAGGACCCTGACTCGCCAAGTGGGTTCAGTCCTGGACTGTTAGATCTACTCTCTTTCGACACCGAGCTTCTTCCTGAGGTGGGTTTCTTGTCTGTTCAAGTGGAGTTGTATTGTTTTGAGTTTTATAAGATTAGATTGCTGTTTTGGTATTGTGGATTGTCCATTGATTATCAATTTACTTTGAAGTTTGCTAGATATAGAACAAGTAGACGAGGAATTCTTGGAACAATTGGACCGGCCAAAGGCCAATAAGAAGTCAAATTTGACTTCTTCTTTGCCTTTTGCCCATCTGATTGTTCCAAGAATTCGTCAGCTACTTGCTCTACAACAGTTATCTTTACTGGGTTATGAAGAATTGAAGTACTCGTATATGGTACATTATATGCTCACTTTGTTCCTTATGCATTTGCATATGTGGTGGGGAATTGAGATACACATAGATTGAAGACCCGTTATAATCTGCGTTTGTAATTTTTAACTTGTTTGGATACAGTGGAGGAGTGATGGGATAAAAAGGAATTGGCTGAAGAGTAAATTGACTTTGTAGGAATTTTAATTAGTTTATGAAGCTAATTATATTTAGGTTTTCATTTTTACTTCACCCCCCTTCAATTCCGCCCAATCCAAACATAATGTGACTGTGTAAGGCAATGAGTGCGCTGATAAAAGGAATAATTGTTATTGACCAGCTAAACAAAGCAATGTGATATGGGTTATTGTAATGTTCTGCATTCACTGCTGCAAGGAGTTTGCCCATGTCATAGTCCTTAGTTATTTCTGGACATTGGCTAAACTCAGAAATTGATGTTGATTCATGTTATGTTCTCTATCCCATCCACATATGCTGATTCTTTTTTTATTTAAAGTTGACAATTTGGCAATTTGTATCCAGGAATTCAATAGTGAGCCTTAACAATTTGTGCTCACTTTGCCTTTTTTTTCCTTTTGTTTTTGCTTTCTTTCTTAATCTGCTGATTTTTTTGAGTATTCTGTGGGCAGATTCCACTTCCAGGCCAATATGATGCCCCTTCTCTATATCGTTCTGTTCCAGGCAGAAACTTTGATGACTCTGAGTCATATCTTGCAAATAGCAAGCAAACTGGTAGAGTTCGTGGTGTGCCTGATAACAACCTTATGAAAAGTTATGCTGCAGATAAAGAGAAGGCCAGTAATGTTGCAAAGATTAAAGTTGTGGTATGCTTCTTTTAAATTATTACTATTCTTTGTTTCCCAATTTGGTTCCCGTAATAATTATTTCTCTCCTTAGTAATTAGCTGAGTGTTACTAATGCCTGATTGCCAGCTTGAAAACCTTGAAACTACCAAAACCAACTGCTTGTTTGGATGAGTGTAACTTTTCTCTTCTCTGCAGTGTCTAATCTACTGAAAAACGCGTCTTAAAACTTGTTCTAAAATATGCTAATGATGGCTTGGTTACAGGTGCGCAAAAGGCCACTAAATAAAAAGGAGCTGGCAAAGAATGAGGACGACATCATAACTATAGAGTCACGTTCCAGTTCTCTGACAGTTCATGAGACTAAACTTAAGGTTAGTATTGTTGCGTGGTTTATGTAGTGCTGGCTATCAATTTTAACTATTTTGAAATTTCAGTTTGATGTAAAAGCTCCTTGCCCTCATACTTTATTTTGAGTATAATTGTATGCATTGTTGTTTGTCCTTATATGACATGAACATATATAATTTTATTTTACCATTGTCTTTTCTTATTTTGGCCTTTTTCATATCAAAGCTATCCCAGTTATAGAATTTTGTGATCAAATTTTTTTGAACTTCATATATGTTGTTAAAAGTTTTATATCTCAAAATTCTGCAGGTTGACTTAACAGAATATGTGGAAAAGCATGAATTTGTTTTTGATGCAGTGCTGAATGAGGAGGTCTCAAATGATGAGGTGAGTACGCCGCATAAGCAAAAATAAGAAACTAAAATGAAAATACAAGCTACTTATGGATTTGGCATGATGGAAATAATTTATTAGGCCATTTGGCATTAGTTAATCTTGGTTTTCTTATCTTTCCGTAGGTATATCGTGAAACTGTGGAGCCCATTGTTCCAATAATTTTTCAGCGGACCAAAGCAACTTGTTTTGCGTATGGACAAACTGGTAAATATAGCTTTGTTCATATCTCTGATGGAATCTGTTACAACCTTTCTAAATTGGGTAGTCAAGAGATTGTCATTCCTCAATTTTTTTGTACTAATCATTACTTATTGGCGGTTTACCTAGGCACTCTTGTTGTGGAACTTCATTCTAGCACATAAAATTGTGATTTTTTTTTATGCTTGCTTGTTATTGGGCTGCTTTACGCTGCTTTAATCACACTTGTAACTGGTACTCAAATTGTTCTCTTGTGCATTATACAACTCGTGATTTTCGTTCTTGTTTTTTTGTCTCCTTGCTCTTGGTTTGACACCATTTGGTTGTTTATCATGGCCGATATCTTTCAGAAGATAAGCAGGGGCTTTTCATTGTTAAATGCATGTATTTTCTGAGTACATCTCTACTCTTTAGCGAGTGTCACTCACTGTTTTCTTGGCACATCTCCAAAATGAAAGACTTAAAATTCGAAAAAGGAAATGTGGTGGTTTCTACCATCAGATATCTGTTGCTTCTTTTTTTCAAGTTACCATTATAATAAGCTTTCATTCACTGTTTGTTTACTTGTTCAGGAAGCGGAAAAACTTACACTATGAAGCCATTGCCCCTTAAGGCCTCTCGAGATATCTTGAGGCTGATGCACCATACTTACCGGAACCAGGGCTTTCAGTTGTTTTTCAGCTTCTTTGAGATATATGGAGGAAAACTTTTTGATCTCCTCAGTGATAGGAAGTATGTGCTGTTATCATATCCTGCTTTGGAATTACCATTTGTGGTCTATTAATTTCTCTCTACTTATGCAGGAAACTTTGCATGAGAGAGGATGGTAAACAGCAAGTTTGCATTGTTGGTTTGCAAGAGTACAAAGTATCAGATGTGGAGACAATCCAGGAGCTCATAGAGAAGGGAAATGCTACAAGAAGTACAGGCATAACTGGTGCAAATGAGGAATCATCACGTTCACATGCCATTCTCCAGCTTGCTATTAAAAGGTCAGCTGATGGCAGTGAATCTAAGCCTCCGAGAGTTGTTGGCAAGCTCTCCTTCATAGATCTTGCTGGAAGTGAACGAGGTGCAGATACTACTGACAATGACAAGCAGACAAGGTTTATATCTCTCTACTTTTGTGTATTATTTTTTTCCCCTTCACTAAAAAGAGAACTTTTAAACACCATAGATGTGACACTTGATGCTGGATTTATCAAATTGATAGGATTAGGCTCCAATCATCAAACTGTAGTAGCTAAGATTTGTATTGAATGGGTAAATTAACCATTTGGCTCAGGGCCGTTCCTTCCCCTCTAGCTCGAGGTCGTGCGGGCTTAACCTGCAGCGTTAAATTAACACTTATTTTGCCTTTATGTTTTAATTTTGGTGTTTTAAAATATGTAATGCAGAATGGAAGGTGCTGAGATCAATAAAAGCTTGCTTGCATTGAAGGAATGCATAAGAGCGCTTGACAATGATCAGGGTCATATTCCTTTCAGAGGAAGTAAATTAACAGAAGTCCTGAGAGATTCATTTGTTGGAGACTCCCGGACTGTTATGATCTCCTGCATATCTCCTACCTCAGGATCATGCGAACACACTCTTAACACGTTAAGATATGCTGACAGGTACATAAACAGAAGTTTCGGGTAGCCATTACTTGTTTTTCTCCCCTTATTTCTGTGTGAGCTTAACTACATCTCATATATATATACACTACTTTTTAGGGTGAAGAGCCTTTCGAAAGGGAACAATTCCAAGAAGGATACTTTATCATCTACCTTAAATCTGAAAGAATCAACAACGTTGCCCTTATCATCAGTTTTTCCTCCTGGGCCAACCTATGAAGATGGTATAGCTGATTCATGGCCTGAACATACTGATAGGGAGGAATTTGATGTTTCAGAAGAGTTCCAAGAGCCAGAGAAGCCATTATGGAAGAAGACTGGGAAAGTGGAAGCATATGGTATCTCAAATTTAGAAGATAAAGTGAGGAGAGCCAATGGGCAGACAAAATGGAAGGACCCACCAAAATTCGACACAAAAAACTTGCATACTGATGATGATTTGAATACTCTATTGAAGGTATGAGAATAGTAGGAGAATATTTATTAACTAAAGGTTCAATCTTCTGACTCTTTTGGCTTGTCTTCAGATATTTATTCATCAATGAAGGTTCAATTTGTTGACTGCTATGGCTTGTATTCCATGTTTCAGGAAGAGGAAGATCTTGTTAGTGCTCACCGGAGACAAGTGGAGGAGACGATGGATATAGTTAGAGAGGTTTGTGATACTCTGGGCTGGCTTATCTTTTTCCTTAAGTGGGATTGTACTTTTCAGAGAACTACTTTCATCATAATCTCAGGCCCTCATGTGGTTGCATGTTCAGTGGAAGTAGCCACTTGTTGGTGTCAACTGAAGATTAAGAAAGATAATCACACTGGAAGATTTTGAAAAACTCTCATATGATCACTCGCTTTCTATCTTTCAAAATTTACCTTCATTTTCATTGAATGCATGAATGTTTATATTTGTGCCTGCAGATCAATGAATTTGACATACTTCTTTCATATTTGTAGGAGATGAACCTGTTGGTTGAGGCAGATCAACCAGGAAATCAGTTGGATGATTATATATCTAGATTGAATGCAATCCTATCCCAGAAGGCTGCTGGCATTCTACAACTACAAAACCGTTTGGCTCATTTTCAGAGACGTCTAAAGGAGCATAATGTTCTAGTGTCTTCAGATTGCTAGATTTTATACGAAAGTTACTTTTTAAGAATATCGTTTCATGATCAACCCAAAGATTGGTTTGCTGAATACAGAATTGTGGTTTAACTGGTTGCTTGTTCTGCTGCCGAGTCAAGATTTGGAATGTGAGGAATCATTTCTTAGTCATCTGCAAATTCTTGGTGTGTATACTGCCAAAATTCAGGGGTTATGCTTTACAAGCAGTGCTATTTTTAATTTTTTTTTTTTTAAACCCAATTTCAGAAAACTATGAACTCACATGCCCATTTGGCATGATTTTATTGTAAAGATTTGCAGCTTCATGATAAAGTGGATGTTCTTGTTGGACTGTGAAGAGCATTTGTTTGAGTGTTATATAATGTTCAATTTTATTGGCTAACCCACTTTGAGTTTACCCCTAGCCAATCTGTCCTGCTAAACCCGTAGTTGTGATGGTGCATGGTGAATAAATGAATGTAAATTGTACATTGCCGAATGCTTTTGGCTGGCGGGCAATCTATCATCAGAATAAGGATGTGAATAATTGTGACCATATAGTTTTGGTGGGTGTAAAAAATGTATTCACTCTGTTTGGCTTTAAATTTTTTATTTTTCCTATTTTGTTGTCTTTTAGTAAGTTTTTTTTTTTATATTTTAAGATACATTTAATTAATTAAATGTATTTAAAAAGTTAAATATTTATGATTTTTTTTTTTTATAAAATTCAATAAACAAACAAAATATGAAAGTGTATTGAATTTTTGAATTTAGTAAATTTTGCAAAGATTTTTTTCACAAATTTTATACTTTTTATGTGAATATATAAAAAGTAAAAAAAAAAATTTATTAAAATATTTTTTAAAACAATTCATTAAAATAAAAATAAAAGTACATACTAAAAACTTGAACAGAAATACCTTGTAGCTCGATTTATTGAGGCTCGAGTGGCCCGAATTGTTCTCTCTCCTCCCCTCTCTATTCTACTTTTGTTCTCCTCTCTTCTCTAAGTGTTCTCTCTCCTCTCTTCTCTATCTCTGTTCTGTTCTCTCTCTCGCTTGCCGTGACCGTCGTGACCCTCCTCGTCTTTGCCCAACACTACGGCAGCGCATAAACAGATCCGGCAATGCCACAGTCTACGCCTTTAGAGAGTGCATGAAAGACCTTTCTCGCTCTGATTGCGACCTCTATTTTGCCCAAATCAAAACCCAGATCCTTCGTTGCCTCCTTTTCCAACGTCTGATTCGCGATGGTCAATTGTTCTACGATGGGTGTTAGTTGAGGTACGGCGATTACATATTCTTCAACGAAAGTTTGAGTGGATTGGATCGAACTGTGTGTGGGTCCAGTGGGTGTGTGGGTGGGAATGAGACTCTATTTCGAGAAAACGTTGGTGATTTGGTGAGGAATTTGAGCTTGGAAGGTGTTAACAATGATGGATTCGCTATTGGGTCTGGCTTAGTGTTGTTTTTATTTTTGTGTTGTTTAACAATGGTGTTCTCCCATCTTTTTTTTTTTTTTGCATTTGCTGTTGGGTCTGGCTTAGTGGTTTTTTTTTTTTTTGTGTTGTGTAATAATGGTGTTCTCCCATCTCTTCTGTGTGGTGTTCTCCCATCTTTTCTTCTCCGATCTCTTTTTTTTGTTTTGTTCTCCCATCTCTTCGTCTCCTCTGTGTGTGTGTGTGTTGTTTTTGTTCTGTATTGTTCAGCATCATTCTCGTCCTCTCTCTCTCTCTCCCTCCCTTCTCTCTCTTCCTCCTACTTCTCTATTTCACTAAGAAAAAAGAAAAAAAAAGAGGTGCCAAAACTCGAGCCAGTCCATTTTCGAGCTACGTAACAGAGTTGAAACTTGAATTGAAATCTCCAATTTGGGTGTCATATATGGCTGTTTGTACCATTTTTGGCAAAAATTGTCATGTGACAATTTCTCCAATTATTTATGTTACATGGCGATAGAAGATTGAAGGTCAAAGATTTTATGGGACCCACGACCAAGATTAGAAGGTATCGGTTGAAATTGATTTTTTTTAATTAATTAAATTAAACCAAACCATTGGATTAATAAAATTAATTAATTTAGATTTGCTCCAATTTGATGGATAGGCCTTAACCGTTCCTAAATTGAGGGGGTGACTGAGGTTATCTCCTATTTTGATACCTTATCTAGTTGATAAATGATAAGACTTGGAAGATTTGAAGATCTTCCATATTAGCTACAAGCATACAAAGGTGGAGTCGGTTTTTCCAAGATCAAGACGAAGGGTTTTTTATGGACACGTGGCAGCTTGTGGAGAAATGAAGGATAAACTCAAACTATAATCAAGGGATTATTTTCCAAATAAGACAAAATTGGTTTTTTGAACTCTCTGAGGATAGGCATACACAGCAAAAAGAAGGAGATCCATGCAAATTTTATAAATCACATAGAATAAATTCAAATTCAAATTCAAAATGTGGAATGACACATGGCGGCCTATGAGAGTTCAATGGACCAAGTCAAACTGATAAGGATAGGCTTTAGCAAATTGAGGATCAAATCGTTCCCACTTTTGGGGGGTCAAGATTAGCATCAAGAACACATGTTACTAGGAAGGATTGCTATGGTAGTTGAGCAGAAATAGGGGTTTCTCCAACACTATATAAAGGACTGTAAGTACAACATTTGAAGGGGTCTCTGACCAAACACTCGACCAAGAGTCTTTCAATACATGCTTTTCAATACATTTATTCTAACTTCATAGCTCATTTATCTTAACTTTATAGCTTACTTATCATAGGTTCATAGCTTGGTTCTTTAACTTCTTAGTTTAGTTATCTTAAATTACCAATTGTACTTCATTTTCAATCAATGCAAGTCACAATTTTAATCTAATATCTTTGGCACCAATAAATTTGTTAAAAGTCCTCTTCATTGGGAAAAAATCCAAACCAGTGGCAGTTCTTCTTAGTCACACACAGTCATATACACTTTGAATTAGATTCACAACTTTTGACACGTTTGCATTTAATCAACAAACTTTTTTATATTCACACTAATAAAGTTTCTAGAGTGCCAATAAAAAATTTTGAAGAGTGCAAACAATGGCCTTATTTTAAGTGGCCTCATCATGCCATGCAATTGCGGATCGGTAGTGTCACATACACCAATTAGTGTACTAACTAGTGTACCAACACTAGTTATATATGACATTATTATTGACCCCACTCATTATATAAATTACAAATACCAAGAACATTTTAAATTATGTCACATCATTAATTGGTACACTCGTTACTATACTAATTGGTACATATAGCATTATTCATTGCAGATAGAATGAGTAATGCTAGAGACCTAAAAAATTCTACCAAAGTTTCTACCAAATGTCTCACATGGGTTTGGGATCCACACAATATGGGTCCCATGTGGGTCTCAGAATTTTTGAGATCTCTAGTATTTTTGGGATAGAATGCCTCTAACATAGTTTTAACTCGTGCCTGAAGGCACGCCCAATAAAACTTAAGAATATATTTTAATTTTATTATAGACATTTCGTTTCTATTAACAAACACCAAGGTGTAAACTTCACAACAACATCAAAGTATAAACCGCACGTCAACACAAAAATAAAAACACACCTGCTAAAAAAGTTAAGAAAAAATTGTAAAACTAAACAAAGAACACAAACCAAAGCTATTGTACATGTGTTAACGTTTTATAATCCAAAAAAAAAAAAAATACTAAATACCAGATAAAGCAGACCAGCAAGTGTTTTGCAATCCTAAAAAATTAAAACTAAACACCAAACAATGCATATTAACCAGTACTCTACAATATAAAAAAATTAAAATTAAAATTAAAATTAAAATGGACACCAGCTGATGTAGGCCAAAAGGTACCACATTGAGGCCACTTAAGTTATATTTTTAGTTTTTTAATTTTGTTTATTTGGTGGAGATGATGTGTTTCGTACACTTGTACAGATTTGGCAGGAAATATGAAAATTCAATCAAAAAGGGGCGCGAAAGCAGATCCTCTGTGCGAGAAGTGAAGAATCTGAGCCAGCCAGACTACCGCACGTACGGCCAAGCTTCACCGCAAGTGCAGCCCACATGGGCGCACGAGCAGCCCACCTAGGGATACATGCACGGAATTTTTGGTCTGTTTTGCTGCGAATAAAAGACAGAAAAATAGCCAAACCTAGGATTCGAAAAATTAATGTAGAGAAAAGGGAGGCTAGGGTTCTGAAGAGGTGATATTCTACCAAAGCTTGAAGGACACTTCCATGGGGGGTTTTTTCCTCATCTTCTTCATCATCCCACTCCTCCATGAGTGGCTAGTCGTCTTTTCTAGGGTTTTGATGAAACCCTAGCCATGTAATAGGATTTCTCATTAGCTTTAATTGTGAATTGGTTTGAATGGATGTATGGATGATTTATAAGTTTTTAATATTTGTTTCTTTAATCTCTTCAAGCATTTTACTCTCTGTGATTGTTTAATGCTTTCCATACATTAGTTTTCTTCGTGTTTGTATTCAAAGTACGAGACGAGTCATGCTATGAGAGATGGGTCGTATTACTACCATAGTTTAGCGCAAACGACTCGTACTACTCGGGATGATTCATGCCTGTACGTTGAATGCAACAACCCTCTTGATCAATATTTCAAACTTGTAGTTGTGAAATATTGGGCAGTTCAAATCGAATCGCAATTGTTGGCCAATGTTAAGTCTCATCCATATGGTTAGTGGTGAATTCTCCGCCCTAGGATTTTTCCTAAAAATTATTACCTCAAACCCTAATTTTAATTATCAGTATAATTTCTCAATTTCATTTAATTGATGTTTAGTTATAAAATCAATTTTATCTTTTTAATCAAAATTAATTTAGGGATTTTGCGATTGAATTAATCTAATTTCACATTTGTCCCTGCAGATCGATACCTGGACTTGCCATTATTCTGATAGAATTTGGTATAGTTTAGTAATTTATATTTGGTGTGTTCAACGACCCATCAAATTTTGGCACCGTTGCTGGGGACTTCTGGCGAAATTAGTTAATTTAAAGTTACATTCTTATTTTAATTTTTAGTTTAGGATTTTATGCTTTCGTGTTGCTAGTGTGCAGAGCGTTTGAAATTGGAGCTATCACCGAAGTGCAAACGGAGCGCAACCGAGCTTTAAAAAATAAAAATAAAAACCACAGCACTAAAGTGTGTAAATAGAAGCAAACATTCGCAAGCAAAGCACTAAAGTGCTAAAAATAAAGACGAAGCTCAATTAGAGGTTGGAGACAACGTCTACACGTCAAGCACCCGCAAGACGAGTAAATTGTTTTCGTTAAACCGTTGTGAGTATTTCTCCCTTTGGTATTTTGCTTTCATAACTTAGTGCACAGAGTTGGAACTTTTTGTGTGTGTGTGGGT